AGGCACAGAAGGGTACCTCGGAGATCGCGCCGGTTGTCGGATGCGGTTGACCGTCGTCTGAGCCTCTCGGCAGCGAGTAGCCATTCCCGTCCATGCGGCGGCGCCATCGGCTCCGACGAGAGGGACTCTTGTCGTCATCGAAGTCAAGCTGCACTTGTACCCGCCCTTGTCACCACAGGCCGTCCCGGCAGAGCGTCGAGCTCAGTCGTCGTGTTCAGCTGGGTCTGCGACTTCATGAAAGAGACACGGTCGTCGGCCATGAACTGGTACTTGGCATCGGGGTTCTTGCGCCAGAAGACAATGGTGCTCGAGATGATGACCATGATGAGCAGAATCAGGGAGAAGGCGGCGTTGGCAATGAACAGCACGACACCGGTGGCGCCGGGGACAATGTCAGGTGCGGCGTAGACATTGGTCATCATGAAGAGGAAGACCGAGTTGAGGAAGTTCATGACGCAAATGGCAATGTTGAACGAGTTGATGCTCTTGTCCATCCAGGGGCGCAGGACACTGGCGGCGATGAGAGCGGCGGCCTCAATGACCATGAAGGCGATGGCCTGCACGACTCCAACGTGCTGGCCGAACGCGACGAACATGCCCTTGATGAGGGTGTAGAGAAGAGTAGGGGCGATGAAATAGTAGGCCGAGGCGCGGAACTGGACGTAAAGGAAGCCCCACTTGTTGAGGGCCTGGGGGTCCGAGTAGAGGATGTAGGCCGGGTTGCGGTGCATGGCGACGGAGCGACGAGCGATGCGGATGACCTTGAACGAGGCCCAGCCGAGGGTGATCAACATGCCGAAGAAGAAGAAGATGGCGAGGACAACCTCGGCGGGCGAGTCGCGCTGCGTGAGCTCCCAGAGGCAGAGGATCGTCATCATGGGGAAACCAATGAGCGTGACGCGGAACAAGATGCCCTTGAGGACGGTGAGCCAGCCGTTGCGGAACTCGAGGAAGCTGTCGGTCTTCATCCACCTCTGCCTGACGCATAGCTCAGTGAAACCCTTGAAGAGAGCGACGACGAGAACGGTGAGGACGGCGAAGATGCAGTAGAAGGTAAGGCCGGTCATGAAGAGGTTGGTCGACTCAATCTTGGCGCGGAAGGCGACACGCTGGATACCGTACACGATGAAGGAACCGGAGCTGAGCTGAATGTTGGCGCGCTTGGCCAGGGCCGTGCCAGCACGAGCCATGATGCCAGCGGCACCCTCAGTAAAGTCGACCGATCGCTTGGTGACCTGGACGGAGGAGGTCCTCATCGAGTTGAACAGAGTGCTGGGCTCACCGCCGGTGGCACGTTGGTACCAGGTGAAGACGTCCTGCATCCAGCCGACGCGAATGATACCCATGGACCACATGAAGTTCTGGGTCCAGGCCTGGACAACGGGGGGCAGGTGAACACCGGTGAGACCAATGATGGCCTGGGCCTGGAAGTAACCAAAGAGAGACAGCGTGTTGGCGGCCAAGTGAGCGGCGGCGTTGGTGTGACCCATGCCAGAGACGACAGCGGCAGCAATGAGACCGAGAATGGCGATGAGAGCAGTGGCCCACTTGACTCCGACAAGGTCGACCGTCTTTCCGTTGGAGAAGTCGGCTTCGACACAGGCAACACTCTCGCCGGTTTCCGTCAGGTTGAGGTAGGCGCGGAAGGTGGCATCAAGATCGGGGATGGAGAAGGCGATACCGGGGATGACCTTGGTGGCCTCCTCGTCAATGTCGATGTTGAACTTGAGGTTGATCTTGTCGGCGGTCATGGGGCACAGACCAGCGAGGTCAATGTCACAGGGGTCGATGGTACGGTGGATGACTTCGTAACCGTATGCCTTGAGCGAGATATCGAAGACGACGCTGCCCTGGACGGAGGAGACGGCGACAATGTTGACAGTGGCAGTACCGTTGTCGGGGGTGAAGACGACGTTGAACAGACTGGCCGAGAACATGGAATCAGACTGGCACGTGTTGAGCGACTTGGACTCGAGCTTGCGGATGGCCATGACGGGCGACAAGGCCGTCAAGAGAAGGAGGAGCGGTGACCACCTCATGTTGGCGGTATTGGCGAGGTATCGAGGTCGGGATGAGCGATTGACGTTGTGGTGATTTTCGTGAGTTGTAGTACTTTGTTGTAGAAGACGTCTCCGAACCAGGCGAGACCGAGCTGACACGGCTTCCTTTGTTGATGTAGGTTTCGCTTAGCTCTCGTGATAATTTACAAGAGAAGCGGGAGGGAAGTGAAGAGCGAGGTCGACCAGTCGAACGCAGAGTGGTGCACGAGTACCTGCGTGTGCGGTTTTCCTTTTCGTGCAGAGTGATTTGCAAGGCTCGTCGGTCGAAAGGCAGGGAAGAGGAGGAGAGCGAGAGTAGTCCTGCCGACGAACTGGCGGAGCGGGTGGTGTTGGTAAGATGCGTGAGACCAGAACCCGTTCCGATGGGGTTGGGGGGGTAAAAACGAGCGTTGGGTTCGGGGAATGCGATTGACACGGATTGACGAGGGATGTCGCCGGCTGGAATGTCGTGGTCGCGAGGTGATGTGTGAGGTGAGGGCAGGGAGTGGAGGTGGGACGGTCTGAGTTGAGGGCGGAGGGAGAGAAATGAGGTGGACGAGGAGACGGAGAAGGCGGGAACAATTGGGGGGGGGGACAGAGAGGGAGGCGCAGCCAGGTCTCGATTCAAGGAAACAGGGACGTGCTGTGTGGTGACTGCCAATACGGGGAACTGGAAAAGGGGGCAGGGGGAGGGGGGGGGCATGACAGAGGCAAGATGGGCAGCGGCAGCCCAGGGGCTCGACAGGGGTGAGCCGCTGGGAGGCACCACCACCAGCAGAAATTAACGAGCCAGCGGGTAGACCGTGTTAGAGCCAGTACGAATTGCGCCCGACCTGATCGAAGGTACATCATGCTCCGCCTGGTTCTGGCGGCATCACATGTCTCTATCCACGTGACTCTCGTATTTGCGGGTCCCCCACTATCCAAAAGCACAAGCCCCGGAGCGCGTGCGCGTCCATCAATTCCCAAGCGTTCCTCCCAAGCCACCGGTCGTCGTGCCCCCGGTGGTAGAGCGAAGGTCCCCTTTCTTTTGTTCTGGCCTGTGTCTCCATTAGGCATCCTCGCTGACGGCTCAGGGCAGTCTGGTCCTCGTTGAACCTGTTGGAGCTTATTCAGACCATCACACGTCTGATGCGGATACCGGCTCAGCATTGTAGACAGAACAGGCACAGGCAAGGCAGGGAGGGGTATGATCTCCAATGGAGCGACGAGGAATCAACAGCACGAAGACATGGAACACATAGAGCAACAAGCTAGGCGCGTCGATCGCCTGGAAGTGCCGCTGCCCGCCCACCCCTTGCGACGCGCAGCGTTTGGGCCGCTGCGCACCTTGGTACCAGTGTCTGTCTCTCGCCTGTTCACCCGATCGCCTGTTCACCTGTTCGCCTGTTCGCCTGCTCGCTGACCCTTCTTCGCCGTCAGGCATTTGGGCTTGGCAGTCCATGATTCCAGAGCCGTATTCAAGGCACCAGCAAATTCCCTTGGTCGATTGCACTGCCACTGCGGCGCCAGGTCCGGAGCAGGTAGGTATTGGATTGCCATTTCATTCTCAGTGTGACCATCACGTGCCACAGCTCTGGCCAGTGCAGGAGGAGAGCATCCAATGATGAACGCGTGCCCAGCGGCGACGGCTTCTGTAGACTCGCCCTGGTTTGCCCTGGCACGGCGTCATGACGCTTTGTCGCTGCTGCTGTCAATTGCTGCTGCCGCTTGGTGCTGCACACGACGTCATGACGACTCAACCCCCATGGCGCCAGACATGAGCAAGTCAAACCTGCATCCCCGACCGTCTCTGCTCTGGAGCGTCAAAGTCTGCTCAAGGTGCACTCGAGCCACATCTGCACCTCGGAACCCACCCGTTGATGATCATGGTCGACTCTTTGGCGCTACGAGGCTGGCAGGGCTGGCCCACAAGGACCCCGTCTAGGTGTGCGAGCCTTTCTTCGGGAGAACTCAATCCCAGTGCTACGTCTCACCAGGACCTTGGTCGGCCGTGTGGTCGCACGCAGGTGCGATGCAGACGCGTGCTCACGGTGCCGCACTCGGCTAGGGATCCAGTGTCAATAATGCACGTCAAAGTTGGTTTTCAGGTCAAGATGCAGTGGCTCATGCCACCTGTGTTGTGCTGGCCGGAGGCTAGATGCTGGCATTGAGCGAACTGCGGGTGACAGGGGGGGAAAAGACTGTACTAAGGAATCCTACAACACAAAAAAATTAATTAATATTTACTACATATGAAACTCCCCCGCGTTGGGGCATGGGCAAAGGTATCG